CCTACCGCCCAAAACATGCCCACCGCCCCCCTACCGCCCAAAACAAGCTCACCGCCCCTCAGCATCCTCCCACCGCCCCCCGGGGGGTGGTACCGCCCCCGTTGAGAACCAATGAATCACACTTTCAGTAATTTTTTTTTCTCAGACTCGGCTTTTTACTCATCAATGTCTTTCACAAACCTCAACCACTATTTCAATATTCCAAAACACTTATCTCCAAACATGTCAAATAAATAAGTGAACAAACAAACAAACAAACAAATACCGATCTCCATCTGAACTTGAATTACAGCAGTAATTCTGCTTAGGAATCTGTATGCATGGAAAACTCATGCCAAAATCTAAAGCCAGGCTTGTAGCCACAGAAATGAATCACACTACCCATAAAATCCAGAAAACAAATGAAGAATCAAAAGATTAATCAAGTATTGTATCATTCAGTGCTTTACCCACTACAAGAGCTGCAACACCACCTGTGTTGCATACAGACAAGTTTCAGTAATTTCAGAGTGATGTATCTGCACAAAGCCATAATCGGTATTGCAAGCATAAGAATTAAAGGAATATTGTATAAAGGAGACCTATTTTCACTGACAGCAAATAAAACCAAGACTCCCACCAGAGAAATCTCCATTTACCAAATTGTGTTAAGTTACTGGAATATAAAAACATTAGCCACTATTCACTTTGTTTCATGAAGACTCCATCTTTGTAAACGCAACCCAGCAAGCAGAAAAATGAAATCTGCTCCAGGCTCTGTCTCACTGCCTGACATACAGATGGTTTTGGTTTTCATGCCCCTAACAACTGGCTTGCTTTTGCTTTCTTGCGTGTCTGAGAAGTTCATACAAGTATTGCCAACCTTAACCTCAACAGGAAAAAGTTCTTGCATTACTTTTATGTCATCAGAAATTCTTGACCTTGGGGAGATATAGTTTTAGATTCTGAAGGTTGGTGTTGTTCTTTAAACCTCTCGAAAACCCCAGTTCCATAAATATATTCTGGATTTTAAATGAAATATTTTTATCCCAATGTCATAAACAATTATATTTTGTAAATATTAAACTAGCAACTAAACATATTAATATATGCCCAATCTACAGGTTTTAATAGAAGCATAAGGAATCTTTAACAACTACATTCAGGGCCTATACACAGTCAGCCATGAAGTTTTGGTTAAAAAGAACAACAGAAGCTATTTTGTGCATAGGTAAAACTTGCTTGACCAGAGACCATACTGTGATCAGAACAGGGAGGCAGAGAATATATGTCATATGAAAAAGAATTACTGTATTGTAATATTTATCTTTTTTTAAAAAAGTAATTTGTACAGAGTGTTTGCCTATTCTTAACTGTCCTTACTGTCAAAATTTAAAATTATCAGTATTTCTACATAAAATAAAATATCTCTTCATATTGGTGGAATCATAAATTACAATTAAAATGTACTTCCATAAGGCTGATTTGTTATAATGTTTTTTCTGCTCAGATTAGGCACTGCTACATTTTTTAATTACATGGAAAAGGAAAACTTTTAACTTTTGCAAAGTGTGCAAGTGGTTCACACTTGAATTAGTATTACTTAGATAACAAATAATGCTAATAAAATGCATCTGCCAACAATTACAATCCCTGTTAGCATGGCCAATGATTAAAGATTTGTGTTTGCTTACAAGTTATTGTGATTGTTCATTAGTACCATTCTAATATTAGGGTGAAATTTAAATCTATCAAAAATAGAAAATAAGCTTTTACATACATTGTGACTTTGTGTCATTGGTATTGCATGTATTACATAACACCTAACACTAACCCTTTCAACTATTAGATCAGATAGAACACACCTATCCCAAATTGGCCTCTTCCTAGTTGCAGCTTTAGAAACAGCATAACCCAACAGTACTATAAACCACTTTTTTCCTACAAATAAATTATAGCCACAAGCTACATCAGTCATAAGGTAACTATAATTAAGACAGCAACATTTTGTAACAAATGGATTATGGAAGAGGAAAAAATCTTTAAAGCATACTTTAAGGCTGTTCATCAATAACAGGAACTATTGTTGAAACATAAGCTTGCTATAGAGCAATCTGTTTTGCAGTTATATAAATATGGCTCTTATTCGAGGGAAAACAGTTATACAAGGAAGATGAGTACCTCCTCCAGCAATTCTCCATAGTTCTATTAGGAATATTGTTTCATACAAAACACTAACAGAGTTTATTGCATTTTGCACGTATTACTGTCACTATGGAAGTACTATGGAAGAGAAGGATACTGCTAGGTGAGAGGGAAAATCAAAATAGAAGAAAGAAATGCTAACCTTGAATGGTCAGGAACAATTAATTTCTAAAATCATTAATAATTAATGGATTTATCTCAACAGCAATGACCTCTACAACACAGCATCAGTGGAGCCCACAATTCAACTGTGAGATATTGAAATAAATAAATAAATACTTTTTAAATATCACCTGCTTATCTCCCACCTACAGTGCTATACAGCACATGCCTCATGCTCACAACTTAAAAAAAATACACGTTTATGCCTATTGATTATGAATTGCACAAAAAACAATTACCATGATACATGTAAAAGAGGTATCAGTGAGATCCTATCCTACTTTCATGCATGCAGTTGTATGTTTATTTTAATGCAGTGGAACCTTCAATTATATAATTTTCTCCTTATAATTTGGTAATCCATTCTCAAAACCTTTCACTGCATGTTAACTTGTTTGTCATGTTTGATGTTTAGGCTTTACAAAAGTAACGCAATACACAATGGCATGCTTCTTTTTTCATCCTATGCTAACAATGTTCACATAGACACAGAATACTTGGTAGGAAATTCAAAGACACAGAGGCCTCATTTGGATGGATAAATCTCAGCCGTGTCACTCTGCACAACCCTAGTTCTTTCTCCCTCTCTGGCAGGCCACAAGGAGAAGATTGAAAGCTTTCACTTCTGTTTTTAGCTAACAGAAATTTAACATACTATCCAAACACAAACATAATTCTCTGGTTTATTTAAAATAGTTTTCATATCAAGCAGCAGGAATAACAACTTTGAAATATATTACTGCCTAAAAGGGGGCTCCTCAGAAAATATACTTTTAAATGCCACTGATTTCCAGCATGTGCTTAACTTCTCCATTAAAAAAAAAAAAGATTTGAGAGTGATTAATATTATTTTTGACAAAAATTATTCAACTTAATTTTAGTAAGAAAAACAATTTGCTTATTTGTTAAAACATCAAATACTTTAAATGTTTCCTCTATTACTAAGAACCCAAATATTTCTATAGTATCAGAATAAAATGTATATATTTAATTTTGAATATTTCTTTTCTATTGGAAGCACATATTTTACAAAAATGAGGAATATTAAAAACAGACTAACAGCTTCTTCCTGGGAAACATTTGACTAAGCATTTTCCACAGTATATACTATTAAAACTTGAACAAAAATCCACTTGTTTACCTCAAATTGTAGCTGCTTTCATCTGATTTTGCAACAGAGGAAATAAGCTCTTCATCTTTCCTAGATTTTTCAGTTTGTCTCTTTGCTTCTGTTGATGCTCCCTGAAAACACAGTTTTATAACATGGTAAAGCAACAAATCATCAAGTTTCAGTTTCCTGAACCATATTATTACGCAACCCTTCATTTGTGGATTTGCTTGAAGTCCACAATATATCCTGCCTTCTGCTGATTTAGCTTAAAACAAATGTAACATCTTAGTTAGTTTCACAAACTTTGCATTCAAGTTACTAATTCATCTGACCAGTTAAGAGGAAGAAGCTACAATCATTTGCAATTCTGTTTGGGCAAAACTTGAATGAGGATACTGAAAAACTGAATATTATTCTGCTCAAATGTATTTGGCATGCAACATAAATAACATTGTTTTTACAAAAAAAAAAAGTGGAGCTTTTAAAATATAATTATTTATACCAATGAAAGAATCATCTTATACCGTGAAGATAATGCTAACTATCCGTATGTACATGTTTTCATTTACAAGTTCCATACTTTCTCAGGCAGCATAAAGAGTAGCTGGGGATTATAGAAGTTGAAATCTTAATACATCTGGAAGCATTAGGCTGAGGATGGTTGATATATTCTCTAGAGTCAAGACCTAAGATGTAGCTGCAATACCTTGACTGGATCGACACCTGAAAGATTTGTATCACATATTGCTTAAATTACATCACTGATGCAGTTAAGGTATTGACAAAATAAACTGAAATGGTACGCATTTATTTATTACAGGACGTATCCAGAATAAAAAGTGATTATTCATCACTTTTCACCTGTAACTTCCAGCTAATATAGCATCCTCATGAAGACAATTACGCTTTTTTCTTACAAGTGCTGAAAGTGGAAAGCTTGTCCCTACTCACAGGCAGCCACTATCTCCCTTTAAATAAATAGAAAATAACTAATTGCAATTTGAAACAGCAACTAATAAACAACAACCGATCACATAACTGACCTCCAAACATAAGGAAATGTACCTTGAGAGAGATGCAAGCGCCATCCAGTACATTGTGGTTCTATGAGAATTTCCTTTACACTATATCACTCACAGCATGACAGATTAATTCATAGGGTCATTTCCAGTGTGACAGCGCACGCCATCAGAATGCCCTTCTGCTTTCTCAATGGCCCAACAATAAATGCACACAAAACTGACATCAAGCACAGTGCTTGTTTACAAATAAATTGCAAAGGAATTGTTGCATTGTGAATCTATAGGCTTGTGAAAACAACAGCACAACACTGTGGGATTACTGAGTACTTTTTATTATATCCCCAGTTATCAGTTATGATTAATTTGCAGTGGGCAGAATCAACTTCTTGATATATTCTAAATTTGCTTTAAAATTTCATTTACAGAACAATGCTGCCATTCCAGATGCCCCATTACTGTTGTTATGAATGGATATTTAGCTTATGTTTAACTTTACACAGAATTATTACATTTCATTGTTACCTGATCTTTTTTTCTTATTCTCCATTCTACATCCACCCATAAGAACACATTCAAATGTGTCACCTGATAAGGGTTCATGTATCTGATAAAGTGTTACTCCATTCTTATGATTTTAAGATGTCTGTTGCTTTTCCTGCAACATATTGCCATACCAACTTCTCCATAATTTTTTACCCCAAATATGTGAAGCCTTTAAGGCATTAACTTAAATAATGACAAGGTAATATACTTACCATGTCCAGTAAAAAATAAATGGTTTTTAATTATGTTAGAAAAGGGAATACTAATACTAACATGCCTTATAAAAGATGGCATTTTTAACTGGGACATTATAGTCATATTAGGCTTAACCTGTTCTTGCTTCCAACATAAGTTCTCAGATCATATCCATAAAGCTCTTCACAATTAGAGTTGGGAAAATTCTCCTCCATGGGTTCCTATTTTTGTTTTTCTGGGACATGTATGAAGGCCCTGGAGTTCCTTGTAAGATAGACAGATTTCATGAATCAACCCAACATCCAAATGAATGTTGGAGGGTATTTTCAAAGTTTGTTCATTTTTTTTAAAAAAATCAGCAATAAAATAAGAAATTGCATTCTTAATTAAGAGACAGCATCTATGCTGGAGTTGGTACTGGAGCAGCCTGAGTTACGGAAGAAATAATAGTGATGGAAGAAATGAATGATGTAGACATGGTAAAGGCTAAATATATGTTTATGATACAAAGTAACAACAGTAGAGACTGTGAGGCAAACCACATATGATGCAGGATATCTGTAACTGGCATTTTAAACAGGTATATGAGATACAAATTATGTTTTGGATCATTATCTTGCTGAAATATCCACTCCCTTTTCAGATTCAGTTTCTCCACTGACTGGGTGTTAGCTGTTAGGATAAACCCACACAATCCAAAGGGGGCTTCACTTCACCTTGAAGCCAGATCTTCAAGGCCTTTTAAAATAACAGCAGGGTTTATTGGTATTTAGTCAAATCCATTCTTCCTTTCACCCATACAATATTTCTGTGATACTGTCTGTCACACAACCACAAAGTGTAACTGAACCCTCTCTATGCTTACCAGCTGGCAAGGTATTCTTTTCTTCAAATATATCACTGTTTTTCTCCAAATGTTGGGATTGACAAGTTTGATTTTTATTTCATCAGTACAATGTACAGTACTGTGCAAAGGTTTTACGCAGGTATGAAAAAAATGCTGTAAAGTAAGAATGCTTTCGAAAATATATATTGTAATTGTTTATGTGTCAATTTACAAAATGCAAGTGAGCAAACAGAAGAAAAACCCAAATCAAATCAATATTTGCTGTGACCACCGTTTGCCTTCAAAACAGATCAATTCTTCTAGGTACACTTGCACTGATGGTATGGCATGAGGGATAAGGATCTGCCTGTATTTCTCAGTGTTGAGGACACCACTGATCCTGACCAAATCTCCAACTCCATTTGCAGAAATGCAGCCCCAA